GGAATCATGAAAACTACCACTGTTTGTCTCATACTGTGTCCTGCTCATCACTGTGAAGTTTCTGAGTTGCACATGCTTTGTTAGAGCACCGCTGACTCTTCACAGTGGAATGACTTGGTTTGACTCCACTGAGTATTTTGTCATTCACTCTTATCAAATATCTGCTGATTTCTAACTCAACATAGAAAGGGAAAGAGCATAATTCAGTTACCTGCAGAATCATACTGTTGAAGAGGTAACACCTCATAAATATCACTGTCAGGTGCATATAAGTGGAACACACAGGTCTGTTATATTTCCTTCCACAGCAGGAGTTACATAGGCATATCACTTAAACTCATGCGACACACAGATTCAAGATTTTCAGAGGGAGTTTATGTTCTTCATTAAGTCTTCATATCTCCTTCATCTCTCAACACTGTAGGACATACATCTTATCCCCAGACATGTTCAGACTGTGCTCACTACTCATTTATTCTGTGTGTGTTGGTGTGTGTGTGTGTGTGAGAGATACACTTTGAAAACATGACTCAGCAGCGTCTCTGTCTCACACACACACATACATGCAAATGTGCACAAAGGCCTTTGGTGGAGAAGCTGCAGATTGACATGAGGACGGAACTGTGCAATCAGAGAACTTTGCGCTTATTCAAAAGAGATAGAGAGAGACGTAGATGTGCAGATGCGTCTGTCTGTTCCCTGGTCTTGTAGGCATGGCTGAACAAATGGAGAGGAGAGAGGAGGAGAGTAGAGGAGCGGATTGTTTTGGCTGCCTGAATCAAAAGCCTGGCAGAACTGAATCCCTCTGTTTACTCGCCACCCCCACCCACCTCTCCGCTTCACAAACACACACAGATCCACTGTGTCTTATCCCTGAAGCTGCCCCACCCAGCCCTGTCGCCTGCTTCTACAGCCCCTCCAGCCCAGCTAAGACCCTCAACTCTAACCTTTCTTCTGCTCCACCCTTTGATCATCCCTATGTTTTTTTAAAGGGTCTGCAAAATCCCGTTCTAAATTCAGCAAGCCTTTATTCATGTTTACTGAAAGCATGATGAATGCTGTGTGCCTTTCTTTCTCTCTGTTTTTCCCCTTCATTTTTCTCCCTCCTCTGCCTCTTTTGTTCTTTTCATCCTCAAGCTTTGTATTGTTACTATAAACCAATGCAAGGCAAGCCAGGACTTGTACCAGTGTAAGATTCCATCCTCAGATACTACATTACCCAGAAACTACTGAAACCGCTCCAGCAGCCACTTAGGCTCATCCAGTGAATAAAGGTTGGAATCTTCCAAGTCTCTGTGTTTTATAACCATTGTTTTTGGTTCCTTTTGCAGCTGACATGAACGCCCTTTCATGCTGACCTGAAAGCAGCTTTGTCTTGCTAAGCAGCTGTTTTTGACAGTGATGGCAAAAGCATATTGTGTAGAGATGGCACAATACCATTTTTTCTTTCCTGACACTGATATTGAGACCTTTATTATCACCCAGTACTGATACAATATCACTTCGCTTAAGATGAAAATCTAAAAGTAGGCCATCATGCTAAAACTACTCAAAAACTTGTTCTTTGTTTCCCCGAAGAATGAAATACGTTTATGGGATTGGTTCTTTTTTTCCACTGATATCCAGTCCAGCATTTCCTGCTGCTAGCAGCTCAATATTGATGCCTGGAATTGGATCATGTGCCGTCTCTGATAATGTAATTTGATATTAATTATTTCTCACTTGTGGCTCATTCAAACAAGCAGAGAAATTCTGTTGAAATTGCAGACTCTTTCAGTCGATAACACATCTGTATTTGTATGTAGAAAAGGAGGATTTAAATTTGTTGAAAATGTGAATTATTACACTAATATTACATTTAAATAGTATAGCAAAATGACAAAAACAACTGTAGATTTATTAGAATTAAACTTTATTCCTACAAGAAAAATGCCAAAAGTGGATTTAGGTGAGGATAAAAGAGCTAGGTTGCATGACTACAGCTTACCTATCACTTCAGTAAGTTATAGCAAGAGAGAGAGAGACTTCTTTCCTCATTTGTCTGTGTTGCTGGCGTGCCCCCAATGAAAACTGTGTGTTTAGGCTGATGGAGTTATGAATGTTCTCTCTGGACAGAACCCAGGAAGACTTTTTAAATGTGTTATTAATGGCCAAAAGGCCTGTATTGGTTGGGAGAAGTAACTGTTTGAGTTGGACGAAAGCGGGAGAAAAAGATTCCAAAATGATAAAAAATATATGTATGCTAATGTCCATATTCAGCATTTATTTGAGATGTATTGCTCTTTGTGCCGTGCTCCTCCGGACTGCTGGTGACTTTCTTTTCAGGCCGTGGAAATATTACATTACTGCTGTCTTTTGAGCCACGTGTTTTTATAATTCTTCAGCAGTTTGTCATAAATTTCCTCTTTAATTATACAGTATGATTTCTCTCAGCCGTGTGTGCATGTGTGTATGACTGTGGTTGTGTGTGCCTGGCGTCTTTTGAAGCACTGACCTAAATGTTTTGGGTGATTTATCTCTCTGAAATGAGGATATGATTTCAGTTGGGCTGTTGTCGCCTTGGTCTCATTGATATTTAGTTAAACTCCTGTCATGCTGCCCAGCCTTTACTTTGCATATTGGAGTTGGTTTACACGTGAGTGTGTTTGTTGGGGGTGTGCTGGGGGTGTTTACTGTGAGAAAACGAGGTGGAGAAGGAGTGAAGGAGCTGTGTTTGAGGAAGTATGGAAAAAGGAGGAGTGAAAGGAGATGCAGTGAAAAAGAGACAAATAGAAAATAAGATACACATATATTTAAAGATAACAAGTCAGAAAGTATATAGTGAGCCAGAGAAGGAGAGAAAGAGAAACTGCTCTTAGCGTCAGATTTGAAAACACTGACCCTCCTTCTATTACATTATGAGAAAATGTTTTACTTTGTTGTTTTCCCAACAGACAGCATGTTTTCCATCAGAATTTACATGTCCCTTAATGCTAGAAAGGTGTAAAAATATTAAATGAGCTCTTAAAACAAACATGTCTCTGATTGGACTAGTAGAGTGCTTTGGTTGGAAATGCACAAGAACTGCTTTCAAGTCAAGCATGCAAAAATGTGCCCTATTTTTTTATAATATGATTTTTTCTTAAGTCCAGTGAAATTGTGCTCTGTTTTGTGGCTAATGATGTGTTTCAACCCTCGCAAAAATAGTCAGCAGTTAAAACTAATTGATTTTATTTGTTTGATCATTTGACAGCCTTCATTAAATATGCAATACTGTGCAAAAAGTAACTACCTTTTCATTTATTTAATTTTCAGTATTTATTGTGTCCACCTTTTGCCTTTATTACAGCTTCCAGACAAATTACTTTTTTCCTTCTACAAAACAGCTCAATAGTAGTAATAATAATAAAAAACTTTGCCGTTGCATACATTTTTGTAATTAAAGGCTCTGTAATTGATCTGGAAGTGACAAATAATACGATTGTTTCCACAAAGGTAGTCAACAGATATAAATGTTAAATTAGACAGAAATAACTTAATGGAAATTAAATGATGGTATATCTGAGTTTAAGTGTTTGATACTTTGTCAGTGTATTCAGTCAGTGGAAAAACAGGAGGCTTCTTCCTCTTTATACACTCACACACAGAGACAGTTAAGGCAGTGCAGTAAAAGCAGACAAAGCCCATGTTGTGTCTGTGTAGGCACAGAGTGTTGGCTGGCAGGTTGTGAGGGCAGTCAGCACTGCCTAGCGTGGGCCGTTCAGCAGCCATCCACACACTGCAGTGTGATTTGGGTTTTAGCGTCTGTGTGCTTTTATACAGTTTTGGAGCAGAGCGCTCTAATTTTGGTATTTAGGTGCCTGTGTGGTTTTAGTGGCTGCTTTGTGTCTATAAAATGTGTTAGTGTTGCACCAGTACCGATACTATTTGGGTATCGCCCCCAATACTGGTGCTGAAACACACTATCTGTATCGACAAGCGAGAATACCAATATCATGACCCAATTTTTGACAAACACATGGCAGTAGACATGCAGATGTGGGTTTATTTCATGCTTGAGACAAGCAGTAATAAAATGGTCATTCGACAAATTAAACAAAATGGTTGATTTTTACAGGTTTTTTATGTTTCATTTTTAAAAACTGACAGTGTATATTACACATATCCATTCATTTATATATACTATTTTGTGTATGTATGTGTATTTTTGGGCTCTCCTCTCCTGCGCCGTGTTGCTGCAGAAATAAACAGCAGCCACAGACTGTTAGACTGCACGCTTTTGTCTCAGCCTGGATTCTTCAGCAGCCGAGATGTGATAGTCCTGTGGCACAGTGCCAGTTTAGACCCCTGTCTCTCTCTCTCTGTGTCCCTCACCTACCTCCACTCCACCCCGTGTCTTGCCCTCATCCACAACACGCCCCCCCGCAACAACCACATACACACACACACACACACTCACAGACACACACACACGGATGTAATCATGTGCCCGTCGTCCCCGTTGCCCCGGCTCAGTATAAATAAATTCAGACGAACTTTACTCGTCTCTGCTAAGAGTGTGTCGGTGTTGCCTTTCTCAGCACTACGCTATCCTCTATAAATAAACGCCCTCATCATAGGAAGTGAACAGCGGAGCGCGGTACTGGAGGAAATAAAAAAAAAAAAATAACAGTGGAATGTATACACATCGTACAGTGGGCCTCCATGTGGGAGCACTGAGCTCTTTGTATTGTTGAGGCCTGCAACATGCTTTACAATTCAAATGTCCTATTATACAGCCAGGCGTGACGTAGCAAGGGTTTTTTTTGATCACAGAGATGATTGCAGTAGATGATTTTGGCATAAGTGATGCTTTCATACTTGTTTACGTGCATTTTTATGTTCAAGACTTTTGTAATCATTACAACAACAAAATGACAATATTGCATGAGAAAGAACTCTTACAACTTTGCAAAATCACTTTGGTCATTATGGTTAATACATTTACTATAATCTCTTTGTTCATGTGTTCCTGTATTCAGGTGTACCTAAAGGCCCCTATGATCTTGAATGGAGTATGTGTGATCTGGAGAGGCTGGATTGACCTGCAGCGTCTGGATGGGATGGGCTGTTTGGAATATGATGATGAAAGAGCACAGGTATAGCCAGAAAAAAAAACTTTTTTGGAAGCCCTTACATTATACAGTGCAGCTCTCTGTTATAATTAGAGATATCAGTTTGTTTACGATACTAGTTTCAATACCAGTATTGAAACCTTGCATATGTGATAGAAATACGATTCTTCATATTTGGCTTTTAAGTGAACAGTTTTTAATTGAAGTCCTTCACTTGAGGACTTGAGTGTCTAAAAGTAGGCTATCATGCTCAAACTACACAAAAACGAAATACATGGACAACAACCGTGACATCATAAAATGACATCACACAATATTAGTTTGTTATTTAAGGCTAGATTTGTTACAGAATTTAATCAGATTCCTTCTTTTTTCTCCAATATCCGATCCAGCATTTTCAGCTGATCTCTAATTATGTCTGTTCTATGAGTATTTGGCTGGCCTAATGAGCCTTCTTTGTCTACTCTGTGTGCGTTTGTGTGCGTGTTTGTGTGTGAGAAGCACGAGGATGCTCTGGCTCAGGCAGCCTTTGAGGAGGCTCGCAGAAGGGCTCGTGATTTTGAGGACAGGGATCGTTCACACCGCGAGGACCTGGAGGTGAGACCGCAAGGGAGAGTGTTTGTGTGTGTATGTATTTATTTAATAAAGTTTAGATTAGTGCATGAAAAATAACAGTTTGTTCTGTATCTGTAGAGTAGAGTTGTGGTGGGACAAACACTGTGTGTGTGTGTTTGTGTGTGTGTGAGTGTGTGTGTATTAGTGTTTGTGTGTTCTGTACTTAATCTGTGTGTGCTGTTCCTTTCTTTTTTGTTGTGCAATAATCCCCATTTTCATTTTTCTACTAACTTTTTCATTACAGCCACTAACATGCTTAGAACTAATTGATATTTTCCATTATAAACTCAAATAGGCCTGTTCCCAGGGGACAGTTAACTGAGTTACTGCAGTAACAGCCTCCAGTGACTGTCAAAACTAGTTTACCCCCAGTTTAAAAATCCGTCATTTATTTATTTCATGCAAAACATTGCAAGACACTAGTTTTCCCACACGTGAACATAATGAAACTTTTAAACATGTCGGGTGAATCGATATCCTACATTACAACCACATTTATTGTATCTAACATAAATGAGATTGTTCTAGAAGCACAGCTTGAAGGCACTCTGTGCTACAGGCAGATATTGTGTCTATAAAAAAGATGCCCGTATGGTACAATGTACATTTTAAGACCACAGCCTCAGGTTTCAGAAAACAGCTTCATATCTGAGAAAAAACACAGTAGTAAAATCATGTCTCTGCTCTCAGAGATCAGGCAAAACAGGCTGTATCAAATAGCCAAGGTGAAATGGCTTTAGAGAAAAAGACATTAGGCTTAACTAAGTGACCTCAGACATGAAAGTTTGTGTGAAACACATGATTCAGTACTTTGTTACTAGATTGATTACAGTTCCAACGAAAATGACAGTATAGTACAACCACAGCTTTAGCTGAATTCTGCCTTTATTATGTTCTTTTAAGTCACAAAGATTGTCAGCTCATGTGCTTTCAGTTTTTCTCTCATATCCGCTTCAGTGCCAGTCTCAAAATAACCAGACAAAAAAATTGTAGCTATTATTATTATTTTGTTCATTTTAAACATAAACATCAACTCCCTGACATGGTTTAACTGTGTACTGCAGTTATTTTTTATCCCAAATAGGAAGACTCTGTTACCGGCACAGGCCTGAACTCAGTCATAGCTATGTAAAATTAAAATGTAAAACTAACTTTGGGAGTGCTTGAAAATGTGTGTTTGTGAGTGTGTGTGTGTGTGTGTGTGTGTGTGTGTGATGTGCTTTACTTGTTGACTCGTGGCTCAGTGCATGAAGAATCTGTGCAATACTACAGAATCATTCTGAAGTCAATCCAAACTGCGCTCCTAAGTTGAAAACCAAATTGTGTTTTTTAGGACCCTGTGGCATCAAAAATCTGGGACTGATGGCATTCACGGACCAGGGTCTGTCTCTTCTGCTTCTCTCTATCCCTGTGTCATGCACTAAACCATGTCTGTGCCTGTAAGTGTGTGTATGTGTGTGTGTGTGTTTGTGAGAGAGAGAGAGAGAGAGAGAGAGAGAGAGAGAGCATGAATTTATGTCCTTTGTGAATTATGAAACACTTTCCATAAGAGCATGTGCGTGCATGAGAGCAGCTTGATCTGTGTGTACGTGTGTGTCTGTGTGTGTATGTGGATGTGTGTCTGTACTTTCACCGTATGTTTGTATATTATTGTAAGAAACCTCAGTCATGATCCATGTTCGTAAGGCTGCTATCAGTTAAATGATGCTTCCTTGTAAGACACGTGCTGTAACACAGTTTTAAGTATCCAGACTGTTAAACTTAAACGAGAGGCCACGTCTCATCACTAAAAGAGAAGTCCACTGTCTCTGTCTCAGTAATAGTCCTGCTAATAGAGGCCAGACTTTCCTCGCAGGACTCCTCTCCCCGGCTGCAGATACCTCTGGGAGTTCCCAGTCACAGCTTGGCAGCACATGAGCACAGCCGTCCTTCTGATGAACCACCAGCTTTTTATTCCACCCTCCCCCTCTTCCTCCACCGCCTCCACCCTGCAAAAATCAATCATGCCAAGGTCTTGTTTTTTTAATACATTTTTAACCGAGTATGAAAATCTAAATTTCTCATTCATGGCGGTCAAGACAATCCATAATCTCCAGGGCTGAGAGGTTTTTTTCCCTTCCATCAGCGAATCACAACAAATTGTGGGGAAAAACCCGCACCCCTGTAATTACTCTTTAACAAATGCTTTCTCATCCCACCAGCAGCGTGGAGTCTTCAGACCTTGAGGGCCCTTATGAGACTGTAGCTCTGGACTCCGTTTCCCTTTGCTGCTGCTCCTCCCCAGACCTCTCTCTCTGCTTTATTCTGAGTAGGGGAGTAATGGTTGAGTTTGGTCGGACCCTGTGGGCTCCCTGGCCCTTGTCCGACACGCAGCTCTCGCATAGCTGTGGTCTCGCTGGCCGCTGCCTGTCCTCCGCCTAGCGTAACTCGATCGAAAACAAAGAGCTGTGCACTAGGAGTCTGCCGCAGAGGAGATGACCCTGTCCTAGGTTTTCGTAAGAAGGAGAAACTGTTTTTTTGTGCAGATACAACAGAGTAGCAATGCATTTTCTAAGGAAGAGAGTGATTTAGCCTTGGAAGAGAGAAAGTCTGTTATCTACACTTTCAAAACAGATACTGACACATAATGTGACTTTAAACATATCTGTGTGTCCAGTTAAGGACAACACATTTTGTCCTGCTTCTAACACAGTCTTATTTAACTTACTCATTTGATCTTATTTGTTTTATTTATATTATCTAATTTTATTATTATTTATTTATTTAACAAAATGTGCTCACAAGTGTAACATAAATATGCATTCTAATTGGAGATGGGAAATATGATAATATTTGTTATTGTGATAAATTTTGTTATTGTGATAAACAGTATTGTTTTCTGAGCATGAATGTTGTCCATACTTATAGAACATTGACTGCCTGCGTGTTTCATTACAAAGAGAGCATAATTAGCCCTGTTTAACTTAATTTAGTGCATACAATCTTTATTGGAGTTACGACTAAGACCACTTATTGATTTATTGATAATTGTCAATAACAGCTCATTTTGCAGTCATCTGGTCTGCTGCTACAGGGAAAACAGAGTAAGAAATATTTTCTGTAGTTATTTAAAGTTTAATGTTTAGTTATTGTGAAGTCTTTTTACAGTGGGTTGATTTTTATAGAATTAACACATTAACACCTTCACATCAAGTCCCAACACTGAGAGCACAGGAATAAACGTCAAAATGAGCGGACATACCATGAGCAACCATGGGCTCTGATATGAAAGGCAGCATTAGTGTTAATGTTTAAAGGGCCCACATCATGGAAAATCCAATTTTCCTTGCTTTGTTCAAAATAAAAAAAGGTTGTAAATGTAGTATATAAATATAGCTGTAGTTTTAAAATGTTCCATTCACTCCCTAGTTCATACGGTCCATATATGGAAATTAAGAGCCAGTTTTGAATTCATTATTGATGTGATGTTATAAAAACCAGTGCATTTATATGTATCTTCCTGTTCAGCCTATAGCAGTTTAGCCCTGCCCCTTCACTTCAGTAAGGAATGTTTCAGCCCTGACAGACATTTGATTGAGGCCAGCCAATCAGAAAAGAGATCGTTTACATGAATCAGTCTTAAAGTAAGAGTAAAAAATGAAATATAAGAAAAAAATAGACATGGCTCTTTAAAGTTTTTAAAACTCGGTGTGTTTGTTTTTTTTGTTTTTTTTGGCCTGTAAAACACGGACAAGGTGTAAGAAGGCTTTAGAGCTTTGTCACCAGCGCAAGTGAAAACTAGCTAGATTTACTGATAATGTAAGTGTAAAATACCTGTAGTTTTAAATAACAAAAAAAGTATATTTATTGATAATTTTGTCCCGGTTTATTGATTTTTAAGAATTAAAATAGTGATTACACAAAAAGTATTTTTGCAGATTAGCCTTCTATTTTTGACTGTGTAGAATAAAGAGTCAGCAAGGATTTGGTGAGTGTAGATCTGCCAATTGTATCGAATACGTAGCTGTGTAACAGAGTGAATGCGTATGTCTACTTTTCTGTCTGTATATGCAATGTTTTCAACATTTTGTGTTTGTGTAAGCACATGAGTGTGTGGTCCCACCACAGAACTGCATGTATGAGGGGCTCTGTTGGCAGTGGGGGTTGGGGAGGGAGGCAAGACTTTAATGGCCTTCTCTCTGATGGATGGAAAATAGATGGGCCATTTTTCATCCAAGTTTAAGCCTTTACTGCAGGTGGGATTAGAGCATGACTGATGCTCAGGCACAGAATGTATTAATATATCATTAGTATTGATCATCTTCATTAGGAGTGCTGTCTCGCCCAGCCTAATCTAAGCTCTATTGACTTGCGGTACAGGCAAACACTGCTGCTTGGCTCCATATGATCGATATTACCTCTCATCCTTATACACACACACATATACGCACAGACGCTTTTCTCAGAGCTTAGCTGTAACATCTGTCTGTCGTTTGTAGTCTACATGTCTACTGTATAGAGATTTTTTAGATTGCTCATCTGTAGTGTGGTTTGGCCTGTGAACTGCGAACCCGTTATCTTTTCTGTTAACACCTAGTCCCGGAGTCAAATTGCGTTAGGTGTGAGGGCTAATTAAGAGCTTTTCATCTTGCGAAGGCTCCAACGTAATAAGCAACGTGCTTTTCTACATGTAACTATGACTTGTCTATTCACAGTGCACAAACATTGTAATTATTTGTATGTATGTGTGTGCGCTATTGCATTTAGTGGCTCTAAGGCCCTTTGAAATACAAACCTCCTCTCTTCTTGCTTTCTAACCACACTGATGCAATGTGAGTGAGTAATGGTAGGCAGTGGAAAAGGCACGATGAGAAACTCGAACTACAGACTGCTGATTCATCCTCATATGCCATTATAATCACATCAAAGAAAACTACAGCAGTCGCTTTGATTAATAGATATTGTTCAATACTGCAAGTTTCGAGGATTCGTGGAGACGTGAAGGTTGAGGAAAAAAACAGCTCCAGGCTTAGAACCTGCTAAAATGGTTAGTCAGGTGGACGATGAGCTCACGCTATGTCAGATGGCCGATTTGTGACCACGTCTGCCTCTCTGTCTGTCTCTCCCTCGCTGTCTGCCTGTCTGTCTGCCCCAGCCATGCCCAGACGTCTATGTTGGGAGAGATTTAGGCATATGCACATAAACATATGTATCTGTGACAGGAGGCAGCAGTCATCTTTTTATTTTTAAAGCTAGTGATTTGAAGACTTGCCACTCAAACCAAAAAAAGCAGCTGAATTTTTATTTTAGAGTCTGCACTGGAGCTAGCCTCTGCTGCCCTCTGCTGTACATGCTGCATGTCAATTTGTGAGAGAAATTCTCTGAAATGTAATGCATATTTGTCTGGGATTTAAATGCTTGTTTGTTTTATACATTTTTTACAATACTTTATATAAATAATACTTTATATATAATACTACTGATAGATACAGTTAGGCTGTAATTTAGAACTACATGTGAATAGACTGATGTCAGCTAAGTTTATGTGTAAGTACCTTTTCACAGTAGCCATAAAATGCAATTTCAGTGTGTTTTGGAGTTCGAAGGCTCAGTTGAGCCTTGAAATAATATATTTTGATAGAAATAGAAAACTTAATAGTAAGTTATTTTGCATTGTTTTACACGTAATTCCTGATTAATAAGATTAGATTGTAGTCAGGGCGGGCAGTATGAGGATATTTTTATTGTTGTTGGGATAAATTACATGCCAATATGCTTTTCTTAGCATATCATCAATATTTTATTACTTTAAAAACACTACCTGCATGTTTCATTAAAAAGAGTGCAAAATAAGTCCTGTTTAATTGGATTTAGTGCAGTGTGTGAAACACTGAATAAAAATCGTTGTACTAATAATTTGTTATAGTATCTTTTTCTACTGTTTTTTTTTTTCAATTTATCAAACTTCAGTAAAAAGTTATGTATTGAGAAAATATCACAATAATATATTTTTGCCATATTGTCCCTCCCTAAGTTGTAAAAATGCAAAGGAGCTGCCCCTACTGTCAGCTACTTGTAGATTATTCATTTTAGGTGTAGCTCCTAAGAGCATGCTCAAATTCCTTGGTTATGCTTAGGATCCAGTAAAATATTTGTAGAGTTGCTTTTACACAGTCCAATCCATGGGAAATGTGAAAAAGCGTCAACAACTTGCTCAGCCCAACCTTCACCCAACAAACAGACTGTGTCTGTAATGAGATGATGCAATTTCTTCAAATTACCAGGCAAATAACACTCATTTAACTGTGCTGTTTGTGTGTTTGTGTGTGTGTGTCTCAGCCCAGGCGACAGCAGGACCCCAGCCCTGGCTCCAACATGGGCAACACTGATGATCACAAGATGCGCTAGCGGCAATCAACAATCAAGTGGGCAGGGGAAGGGTCACATGATCTCCATCACCACGGCAATCTCATACACCCCGCCCCATTCGCTGATCACACGAGAGACCAAAGTCCACATTGTCTGGGTTTTTTTGGGGGGGGGTGTTGGAGAGGGTTTGTTAACGGTCCCTCATTAAACGTGCAGAAGGGTGTGGGTTGTTTAGGGCTGGTATTAGCATGGGTGTGGGGGAGAAGTTTTATTTAATGAACCCTTCCTGGTTCCTTCTTGGGGTTTTGCACTATGTGATACTTTCAAAAAAAAAAAAGTCCCCACATTGCCTTTTGGTATACAAAGTGTTTCTACCTACGTTTCTTTCATCCCCCTATGCAAGCTATATCTTATTTTATTTTTTTGGCACTATTGTAATGAAATGGCATTCTTATTATTTTATTCATATTTGTTTGAGTGAAAGTCAAGATGTTTACCTTTTTTGTATTTTTATTTTCTATATATATAAACTTGTGTGTCTTCGTGCTTTCGTAGGAGTAAATGTTGCTAGCAAAATTTGTGCTTTAGAGTAGAAAAAAAGGAAAATGATAAAGAAGCTGCTGATCTTGTTGACAAGGAAGGCTTTTCGTTGTCTCATCTCCCGTGCTCTCGACGTCTTCCATTCTTTTCCTGTTAGCGTGCGTCAAAACACACTTTAAAAGCGAAACGAGCAGCAGGAAGCATGTTTTCAGGTCAGCTGTGCTCATAGTGTCTTCCATGCGAAATGAAGCAAAGAGATTTTCATTTTCTCTTCTTTTCCTCATCATCTGAATTTTTGTCACCTTGTTTTTATGTTTGTTCTGATTTCAGGATCTTTTTTCTTTCTACGCCTCAACAGAAAATATAGGCCAGCTATTCCACCTTGTGGTGCTGCAGCCTCTCAACTTGATTGAATATGCAGCATTACCTTTCTGTTAAGTTCAGTCGCAACATAGTGGAAAGTTGCATGCCAGCCGAATATAACAGTTCAGTTTTAGTTGTTGTTTTCTGTTTTCTCTCTCTCCTCATCGTTCTGTCCTATACGCTGGTTCTTCCCCTCGGGTTTCAGAAGCACTTGATCTAAGTCACACCTGTGTGAAAACAGGGTGAATGGTTTACTCAAGGAAAAGTAGGATGACGTTTGTATCCCTTGTGTTGAATGGACATGAGAAAGTTGAAAAAGCAGCAAGTCTAGGAGATATGCAGTGAGTGAGTTGAGAAATGGGTCAAGTTCACAGTATTGTTTTTTCCAACATACAAATAAGATGAGATTACTGACAGTTGTAAATGGATTTCAAGCAGGTTGCAGTTCCAATTCACAGTAACTGTAATCTGTTATTGCAGAATAATTTACTCTAATAGGTACGTTTATGCCTTTTCACCACATCCACAGTGTGAATAATGTGTTCCTGCATGGCCTTGGTGAGTTTCCCAAAATCGATGTAGCTTTAAAACACACTAAGTAGAATTTTCCATTAAAGTGAATAGGCACCATGAATGCTTTTTGAGAAAGTACGCAGGTATGGAGTGGTCCGTACTGACTGAGAGGTGCATGCTCATTGGGCTTCTTTAGCTCAGAAGGTACATTTCTGTTCTACGGCGATAAAAGCAGCACTTCCAGTACCCATTTCATTTCTGGATCTACTCCTACTCTGTACAGTCAGCAGTGCCACTAGCAATGGGAATTACCATCATAATTATTACTTAGTGTACAAATAACTGCCTCAGGAACTGTTAGTAAGTTCTCAAAGTAAGTTCTGACTGTTAGTCAGTTTTTTTTTATTATAGTATCTCTCCAGTCTCTCCACTTCAGTGCTTTTGGAGAAAAACAAACAGGCCTTTGAAAGGAATAGAAGAAAACTGAAAGTAGTTGAGAAGAGTAGTTGAGTAGAGAAGCTGGTGAGAAGGAGCAGTGTAGGTTCGGAGCTCTCACATACTGTTCGAAATGGTAAGGATGGAGATGAAATGTGATTAGAGTCTGTTACTTATATATCATAGACCAGGAGCTGAATTACAAAACCCTGTTGTCTTGGTTTCCTCAGAAGGTTTTCAGCCATCAATACTTTAAGTGCAACTGCATTACCTCATTGAGTGCACATGATCAGTAGCTCATACCATGTTTAAAAATGTAGTACCCAACTTGTGTCTTAAATTGGTCTAAGATGTAGCCTATTGATGAATATAGACTACCTCTAGCTACAACCAAAAATAATTTTGTAGCAGATATATGTTTGCAAAGACAGAAGAATAATGTATTAAGTCAGTAATGTCTCTACATTAAGAAAGCTGCTGTTGATTAGAATGTGCTGTGTAAGGTATTTATTGCTAAAATGGACATTTTTACCACCAAATGATCAGAGACAAGGAGCAAGAGGTCACTTTGGAGGCCCAATATTTTTTCATACAATTCAGAGACAGAGAAATCAATGGCCTAATCAGAGTCGATGTTAATGTTTCGCGATTTTTCGTTGTACTATCCAGCAGAAAATAGGAAACCTTCTCACAGGTCCCTCTTCCCCCTTTCCAGGTGTGTCTTGTGCTGTGTGTCAAAAATACCTTTACTGGTCCCATAAGATTCTGCGTCATGTTTTTACTTAATGCTGGCATTAAGGCAAGATACACACCAGGGAATGGATTTTCACATTTCATTTTTTTTAATAAATGGTTTATTTTCTTAATTATCTTTAAGTTATTGATGCAGGATTGCCTTTTCATTTTCAGGTCACGCTATGAAGAAACGTGTATTTCTGTGTTTTTATTGCTTACCTTCTTCCTTAATTCCCTGAGGAATTAGGAACGCTTTTTCTATGTTTTTGTTTGTTTTGTTTTTTTTTGGCATTTTAAGCGGGGAGGACTGTTAACTGAAGTGTTACGTTTGACTTGTTTCTAAATAAACTTTTAACAAACCTCACTCTATTGTAGTGGCACTAGTCTTCAGAAAACATTATATATATATATGCACACCTCCTAGGTTGCAGGAGTCTAGCCCAGCAGTCACTGGACAGGTCATCAGTTGATCACAGGGCAGACACACAGACATATACACTCAAACACATTCACACCTCGGGGCAATTTACCATGTCCAGTTCACCTGACTGTATGTCTTTGGACTGTGGGACCTGGAAGAAATCCACATAAACATGGGGAGAGCATGCAAACTCCACACAGAATGGACTCTGGTCGCTTAGCCAGGAATCGAACCCAGGCCCTGCAGTGGGCCTACCCACTGCACCATCATGCCACCCTATTTGGCTTTTTATATCTATATCTGTCTGTATCTATATGTATATATATATATATATATATATATATATATGTATATATATATATGTGTGTGTGAGTGTGCAGCTATCAGTAGACTAGAAGCATTGACATATTACATTTTAATTCAGCTTAATTCTTTATGACATTTATTCAAATAGTAATTGTTTTAAAACAAAATTTCACTTTTTATTTATTCTTTTTAAAGAATATATATATATATATATATATATATATATATGTCAATCTAAAAACTTTTAATGACTGTTCTCTGTTACAATTTATGAACTGTTAAATCACCTAGACATTTTTTACTTAAAGAAAGTTATTTACTTGTTTTGCACACTATGAAAACTCCACTTACCCTTGCATTGTGTTAAATTTTTTTATGTTGAATAATTCAATACAAAATTACTTAAAAGTTTCTTTTACAATTAAAAAAATTACAATAATCCATTACAAGTTGAGATTTTTTTCCTTGTATGTGAGGTTTAACACCTACAGCGGCAATCTATAATTTAGAAATAAAAAATAAGGTGCCCTTTATATATTTAAATATAATATAGTATTTCAAATATGTTTAATTAATGTTTTCATAAAAGTACATATACTGTGATAAAAGTATCATGTGCAATGTTTAGCAATTTTCACTTCTAGGGTCTGTGGGATAAAAGTTGCTAAATAAGACTCTTATTTTGAAAAAAAAACAACGTAATGACGCTGTTTTTGGCGCCAACGTCTTTCGTCAGACGCAGCGTTCTCCAGCTCTGATGATAATGGAGACTCGGGCTGGCGGACAGACCGACTGAAGTTCACCCGTTTCTCTTTATTTGCTCGTGTGAGAATTAAAAACGTTTATGGATGAGAACCAACACCAGCACCAATTTCCCGCTACAGTGCTGCACAAGCGGGCCTGGCAGCGATTATGTACCGGAGGATTTGACGACGAGGAGAAGCGGTTCAGTGGTTTGGTCCCCAGCTTTTGGTGCTTTTCGTGAAACTGCCACGATTCGATCTGTCTAATCTCAGCGCTGACACTCGGCTCACCTACGGATACACAGCCCACCGTCTGTCCGTCTGTTTAGATCTGTGCATTTTGTGGAAGAAGTCATTTTCACAGCGGACAAGACTAGAAGATGACTAGGATGTAACCTAAACATCTAGCGTCCTCCTGAATGGAGCCGGTATGTGGAATTCGTTTCATGTACGTGAACTCCGTGTGTCTGTAAATTGGACATCTGAGCATCTACAGATGTCCTCATTTAAATATGACTGAAATAAATAATTCTAAAAAAAAAACCACTCAGTAAAACGGGTAAAGTGGGCCATCAGCAGAAGTGGGACAGTGCACAACTGGCCTAGTTTCCTCTGTGTTAAAATGTGTTGCGGAATAGCGCAGATTAAGTGTTACAGAGACGATTTTAATCCTTTACCAAGTTAATGAGTAGGTCAGGTGTATTATATTGGTGCCCTCTGTGTGAACAATGTGAGGTTATGCTGATTTTTGCTCCGATAGTCTAATTGGCAGGATGTTGGTTTAGGATGTTGTGCCCTCTTGATGCCAGTTTGCTCTGTGCATTGTTCAGTTCAGCTTCACAGAAGCTGAGATTATGCTTCAGTTCATGATGGAGGGCAGTGAGAGAGAAGACAGCTCCAGTCCTGAGACAGCCTGCCCTCAGCCAGAGAAAAGGAGAAAGCTCAACCAGTGGAGTGAGGAAAGAATGAAGGGAGCACTCAAGCAGTATAGTGAGCAAGTGGAGACAGGACAGCTGCCACAAATAAGACTTTTGGCGCGAGCATGGAATGTACCAAAGTCAACACTGCAGCGTCGAGTGAAGGGAATGGTTAAGGGTTATGAACATGCCA